GCTTTATAGTTCATTATGTAGGGAGAAACTTTGGGCCAACCTAAAATATGGATGGAGGTAGCCTTGGGCCAGACTTAATCCAGTTTGTCAGGATCATATATTACTGAGTGCCAAATTGTGTTTTGTTACAGATGATTGCTGTAGAAGTTCAAGTGGGGAGAACTATAAGTTAAGATAATAAGAAAATTAGAAAAAGTAAAATCTCAGACATTCCTTAAAGGTTTGTCAGGAGTTTTTGCCAGGTGCTCTGTAGTGAATATGTAATGTACTTTGCCAGCTTTTAATTGGCATTAGAGTTTTGTTTAGAGTGAGAGGTTTTTAAAAATATTTTCCATATATGTTATTGATTGCTTTTGGTTTGGTTCTGTTTTGCTACCTGGCATAATCAGAAAATAACTTGATTTGGGCTGGGCACGATAGCTCACGCCTGTAATCCCAGCACTTTGGGAGGCCAAGGCACGCGAATCACCTGAGGTCAGGAGTTCGAGACCAGCCTGACCAATATGGTAAAACCCCGTCTCTGCTAAAAATACAAAATTATTTTAGGTTGCAGTGAGCTGAGATCACGCCATTGCACTCCAGCCTGGACAACAAGAGCGAAACTTCATCTCAAAAAAAAAAAAAGAAAGAAAATAATTTGGAGTTTTTAGCAGGGAGACACACTTGCTACTGTCTTTTCAATGGAAGAATAGCAGTGCTTTATTGGAGAAGTCTTGTCTCTGTTCTTTAGTTCCAGTGTAGTTTTGGGAAGGGTGCAGTAGAATAACAAGATTGGGAGAAGGCAGACATTCACCTGATTTAGATTTGTGATTCATACCTTATGATCGGTGGAATGGTACATGTCATTTGGCACTTATATTTGGTGTTTTAAACTGGGTCACTATTATAGCTCATTTAATAGATCATCATAAATCAGTTTAGACTGCTGTTGGATTGGAGTTTGTGTGTGTGTGGAGATAAGATAAGGAATTTGGTTCTTTTAGGTATTTAGAATCCTTGGAACATCAGGTTCTAATATTTACCAGATTTTATTTTCAAATCAAATTTATAGAAAGTTAAAATATAGTACACATAAATTCTATCCCAACCCTTCGGCTGCCAACTGGACTAGTCCTCGTACTAGTCTGTGGCCTGTTAGAAACCTGGCTGCACAGCAGGAGGTGAGCGCATGAGAGCAGGCGTTACTGCTTGGGCTCTGCCTTTTGTCAGATCAGCAACACTGGATTCTCATGGGAGTGCAAACCCTCTTGAGAACTTCCCATGTGAGGGATCTAACTTACACACTCCTTAATGAGAACCTAAGGCCTGATGATCTGAAGTAGAACAGTTTCATTCTGAAATCATCCCCCCTGCCCCCCCACCCATGGAAAAATTGTTTTCCATGAAACTAGTCCCCAGACCTCTTAGCAAAATTAACCCATTGTTAACATTCTATGCTATTTACTTATTCATTCTCTGTCATATTTGTTTCTGAATCTTTTGAGATTAAGTTGCATACATCGTGTTCCTTTGCCATGTGATACTTCAATTTATAGTTTTTAAGAACAAGGACATTCTCTTGTATAACTACATTACAGTTACTAAATTAAGGAAATACTCAATTATCTAATACACAGTCCACATTCAGATTTTACTAGTTTTCCCAATAATGTTCTTCTTTTTTTTTTTTTTTTTTTTTGGTGAGATGCAGTTTTGTTCTTGTCTAGCCTGCTGCGATCTTGGGTCACTGCAACCTCTGCCTCCCAGGTTCAAGGGATTCTCTGGCCTCAGCCTCCTGAGTAACTGGGATTACAAGCCTGCCAACATGCCCGGCTCATTTTTGTGTTTTTAGTAGAGATGGGGTTTTGCCATGTTGGCGAGGCTGGTCTTGAACTGTTGACCTCAGGTGATCCACCCGCCTTGGCCTCCCAAAGTGCTGGGATTACAGATGTTAGCCCAATAATGTTCTTTAATGATTTTTTTTATTTTCCTGTCCCAAATCCAAACCATAATGATGCATTGCATTTAGTTGCCACATCTCTTTATTCTTCTTTAATCAGGAATATTTCTTAAGCCTTTCTTTGTATTTAGTGACATTGACATTTTTGAAGAGAGTGACAGACCATTTATTTGTAGAATTCCAGCATATCGGATGTGTCCTCGGGATGAAATTTAGGATATGTTTTTGGCAGGAATGTTACAACTGTCGTGTGTTTTTCAGTGCATCACATTAGGAGGCACATGTCCACTTGTTCCCTTATCAGTGATACTTACTTAGATCTTTAGGTTAATGTGATACCTGCTAGGTTCCTCCTCTACTTAAGTTTGTATTTTTCCTTCTGTAATCATAATTTGTGGGGAGATAACTATTAGACTCAGGATATACCAGTCCTCATCAAACTTTCATTCACAAAGAGCTTTAACATTCTTTGGTAACTTCATCTGAACCAAGTTATTTTATAATGGTGATAATTCAGATATTTAATTGGGTTTAGATATTTAACCAGGTTTGGGTATTCAGTTGCACCAGCTCGGTACAGCTCAAACCAGCAACTTCTTTGAGCTGTTGGATTCCTTAGCATTATAAAGTGCTTTGTGTTGAACAAAAATGTCTCCTGAGACTTTTATACACTGTTTCAAGTTCTGTACTCTGTACCACATGAGATGAGGCTGCTTTTTTGTCTCTCTCTAACTGCCCTTCAAAATGTGTTCTTTTTTGTCTTTTCAGTAGGTTACTTGCTTCAATTTCATATAGTCACTTCTTGTAAGAGATGGCTTTCCTGATTTTTTTTTTTTTTTAAAGACGGAGCTCACTCTGTTGCCCAGGCTAGAGGGCAGTGGCAGGATCTTGGCTCACTGCAACATCCGCCTCCCGGGTTCAAGCGATTCTCCTGCCTCTCAGCCTCCTGAGTAGCTGGGACTACAGGCATGTGCCACTATGCCCGGCTAATTTTCTGTATTTTTAGTAGAGACAGGGTTTCACTGTGTTAGCCAGGATGGTTGGTCTCAATATCCTAACCTCGTGATCCACCCACCTCAGCCTCCCAGAGTGCTAGGATTACAGGCATGAGCCACCATGCCCTGCCAGCCTTCCTGGATTTATAACCATCTTGTTGGTTTTCTGATAACACTCATTCATCAGTATCACACTTAACATAGGCCCTAACTCTGCCACTTAACTAGCTTTGTGATCTTGAACAAGTTCCCAGCGTCTCCAAACCTGTTTTATTATCTGTAAAGAGTTGGTAATAGTAGCACCTGACTTTTAAGGATGGAATGAGGATTAAGTATGCGTGTAAAGCTCTCATTGGTGTCTGTTACATCATAAACACCTATAAAATGTTTATCATTATTATACAGAAAGCATGCTTCTGTTTTATAGCCCAAGATGGGTACAGTTTATGTTTTAGCAGTTGTATTGTACTGCATACTCATTTAAGCCTGTGGTGAAATCAAAGTTTTAATCAGTTTTACTGAAGCAAAGTTGGACTCCTGGAGAAATATTTTAACTTGTAATGATAGAATACCTTTCATAAAACTCTTATGAGATTTTGAAATATTTTAAAAATATTTACAGTATAAGTCAATTCTGCAGAAACAGTTATTTTGAATAAACTCCAAAGCATCAAGTTGTCTCTTATAGCATAACAAATGTTAAATATCTCAGCATTAAATAGTTTTAAAATTAGTCTATGAAATTGGGAGTGTTTGGTTGCAATAGTGAGTTTTCACAAGATCTGGTTGTTTAAAAGTATGTGGCACCTCCCCCACCCCACTCTCTCTTTAGCTCCTGGCTTTTGTCACATAATGTGCCAGTACCCCCTTTGCCTTCCACAGTGATTGCAAGCTTCCTGAGGTATGATCAGAAGCTGAGCCACCACACCTGGCATGTGTCAGATTTTTAAATGGCACTTTATTTTTATCTAGGAATATAAATTTTTTTAAAAAAATTAAATCTTTTGGCTCGGTGCCGTGGCTCATGCCTGTAATCCCAGCACTTCGGGAGGCCGAGGTAGGTGGATCACCTGAGATCAGGAGTTCGAGACCAGCCCTGCCAACGTAATGAAACCCTGTCTCTACTGAAAATAGAAAAATTAGCCAGGCGTTCGAGGGTAGGTACCTATAGTGCCAGCTTCTCCGGAGGCTGAGGCAGGAGAGTTGGTTGAACCTGGGAGGTAGAGGTTGCAGTGAGCCGAGGTCGCACCATTGCACTCCAGCCTGGGCAACAAGAATGAAATTCTGTCTCAAAGAAAAAAAAATTTAAGTCTTTTAAATTAAAATCTTTATTTCTGTAGTGCAAATTGTCATTTGATTCCCTGTGTAATACATATTTGCTAATGGGAAAGCGAAATCAATATTTTTTATCTTTTAATTATAGTTAGTTCCTAACATATAGACCTTCTGTATTTTTGGTATTTTGAAAGTTCAGTTTAGGAAGATAAATTTGTTTTTTAAATGTGAATGAGGTTTTATTTTCTAGGCAAGACTTCTAATACTTGATTTAACCTGTAGCAATAATGGTACTGTAGAAATTTGAATCTGTCAAGTATTGTGCTATAAATATAAACCATAGAAAATATCAGCAACATGGCTCCTCCTGCTGTCACAGTAGGACTAAGGATCTCATTCTCCCTAATCAGGTGCTATGATGTGGTTATACTTGGGACTAAAGGCACTCCACCGACTCTGTAAAAGTGTTCTTTAGTTGGTAGCTGTTTAAATTAATTGGCTAAACTTAAGGAAAACAGAAAAATACCTACTTTTGCTTACTTTGGATAAATTGATTGTATAAAGTAATCCTTAACCTAGTTTGTGGCCAGGCATAGAAAATCTATGGGTTAGTTATATGCATATTGTTACATGAGTGTCAAATACCAATTGGAATGGTATTTTTCAGTTTTTCTTTAACAACCCTTATTTACCTAGCTATAATAGTGAAAGCATTCCTTAAAATTTTAGTTGATCAAAATGTGCATAAATTTTATATGTCTCAACTCTGTTTCGTGTTAAATGTGTTACAGGAATGAATCTGAAGTCTGCTGCAGTAAAACACTGAAGGCTTTAAAATGTTTTCTTGCATAAAACTCAAAACTTTTAAGTAGCTGCTTATGAGGATAGGGAAGGCAGAAAGCTAATGTCTGTCTCAAGATACAGGACAGCTGTTTGCTCATCAACCTCAACTGTGTGAGTAGAGACTTAAGCCTGTAACCCTATGTAATTGGACATAGTAACTTAATTTTTTTTTTTAATTTAAAATGCTTGAAGATACACTAAGTCATCATGATGAGATATTTTTAGGGTGTATTTTTTTCTGGTGGGTAGGATACTGAAGGTGGAGTGGGTGGTAGATTTTCATTTATATAATATTTTGTGTAATAACATTTATAACTAATGTTATTAGTGGTCATGTATCTTTTTTCAGAATTATTCTAAGCATTGGAATCTGCATTACTAATTGTGTTATTGTGAAGCAAAAGATAATTCTTTAGATTGCTGTTTGTTTTGCAGTTGATTTCAGCCATTTAAAGTTAATATTTTGACCAGAGAAGCCTAAAAAAAATTGCTTGGGATTATGATGTTTGATTTAATATAGAAAATTGCCTCGGGAAATAATTTAAATTATAATTTTAAAAGTTAATATTTTAAAAAATAGCTTTATTTAATCAAAGCATATATCAAAACACAAGCACCCTTGTTCCCTAAATCCAATTGAAAGTTTTTTAAATTTGCCAAATTTTTTTTTGTTAAAGTGCTTTGACTAACTGAAAACCCTTTCGAAGAAAAAAATTCTCCTTTTCCTTTCTCTGATTTATCACCTTAAGAATCCATGGCAGGGTGGTGCTTGTTATTTTTCTACCCTCCTCCCCCCACTTTTTCTTTATGGATTTAGAAGTGAGATTCTTAATTGGATGTTTTTTCTCTCTCTTTAGAAGAATGCATTGTTTGTACAGATGGAGTGATTAAATTATAGAGCATTGTATTGAGCAAAATGATGAGCATGTAGACAGAGACTTATAAAATCTTGTTAACTGTTCACTGAGGCATGGAGTAGAAGGAATGTTACGTAGTGTAGTTGCATTAAAATGAAATTACTTTCTCTTTCATAACACAAATGTGTTGACTGAAGGAAAATAAAAATGGAATCAGTGAATGAGAAAACATTTAGAAAACATGTAAAGAATGCATATTGAATATGGATTTTTTTTTTTTTTTTTTTTTTTTTGAGACGGAGTCTCACTCTGTCTAGGAGTGCAGTGGCACAGTTTCGGCTCACTGCAACCTCTGACTCCCAGGTTCAAGTAATTCTCTTATTTCAGCCTTCTGAGTAGTATGTCAGCCTTTTGAGTAGCTGGGACTACTGGCATGTACTACCATGCCTGGCTAATTTTTTTGTATTTTTAGTAGAGGGGGGTTTTCACCATGTTGGTCAGGCTGGTCTCAAACTCCTGACCTCAAATGATCCACCTGGCTTGGCCTCCTGCCTCCCAAAATGCTGGGATTACAGGTGTGAGCCACCATGCCTGGCCGAATATGGATATTCTTAATGAAAGTAGTCAAAGGATACATGGCAGAATTGGGGAGATACATGTTGTTGCATTCAAAACTAGTGAAAAACCCAAAGGTTTCACTTTACCCATTATTTTCTTTTGTATATTGGTCAATAGATATGTAACACGGTGTATATCTACAGAGGTTATCTAGTTCCTAATCTTTCAATAGTTCTAGAGAATAAATATTTATAATCTTGTTTAATGATGACAAGCCTCACTTTAGTGCAGTGGGTCTGTAATCCGAAATTTAATTCTTAATTTACAGCCATTTGGCATTTCCCTTGTAAAGCAAAATTTTAATTTGATGCTGCTATTTTGTGTACAAGTACTTCAGCACCCTTCCCTCCTCTTTTTTAATTAGTGTCAAAAATAAAGAAAATTCAAGGTGAGAGAAGCCTTTGGAACATACTAATGAAACTTTGATTTTTAAAATGAGATTAGGCAGAAAGAACACATAACAGGAAAGAGAGTTGCTTTTATCGCTGTAGAGGGTTTAGGGGGAAACTGCATGGTAGTAAATTGGTCCCAAATTTCTTTTTATCTCTCTGAGATGATTCTCTGTGTTCTGTTCTATATTACTCTTCTCTCAAGGGGGTAAAATGCTTCAGAAGCTAATTAACTTTACTCAGATAGAACGTACATGTAGGAATATGTGTACACCATATATCAAACTCTTCTGCTTTATTCCCTCTGCCTTGCTCTACCCTTTACCTTACCACAATAGTATAGGCTTCTCATTGATCCTGTACCCAATTCTATCATTTAGTTTTGCTTAGATTTGTAAATGTATTTTATGGTTGTATAATACAGTATGATTAAAATGAATTTCCTGGGCCATGTAAGGCCATGTAACGTGGTTATGTGCACAGGCTGTAGAGTCTGGCTCCCTGAGTTCAAATCCTAGCTGTCCTTCCTAACATCTCTGTGATACTGAGCAAATTTCTTAAAACCTTCCTGGGCCTCAGTTGTGTATTCTTTAAAATGGGTACAGTAATAATTTGCTGCCTGATGGGATGTTGTGAGGTTGAGTGAGTCATCAATGCTTGCAAATTTTATTATCATTACTAAGCCCATTTGCTCTTTGAGAGGAGGAATACTAGGTAGCATATTATGAATGCTCGAAGTAGTAGATTTCAAGACTTTAGGATTAAGAATTTGAACATCACAAAGTAGGGTATTTTCAAATAAGGTATCATGAGAAACATCTCCAGAACAGTAGAATAGAAACCTTTACTCCCGGCTGGGTCATGCCTGTAATCTCAGCACTTTGGGAGGCTGAGGCGGGCAGATCACGAGGTCAGGTGTTCAAGACTGGTTTGGCCAACATGATTGAACCCTGTCTCCACTGAAGATACAAAAAATTAGCTGGCGGTGGCTCAAGCCTGTAATCCTAGCACTTTGGGAGGCCGAAACGGGTGGATCACGAGGTCAACAGATCGAGACCATCCTGGTCAACATGGTGAAACCCCGTCTCTACTAAAAATACAAAAAATTAGCTGGGCATGGTGGCGCGTGCCTGTAATCCCAGCTACTCGGGAGGCTGAGGCAGGAGAATTGCCTGAACTCAGGGGGCGGAGGTTGCAGTGAGCCGAGATCACGCCATTGCACTCCAGCCTGGGTAACAAGAGCGAAACTCCGTCTCAAAAAAAAAAAAAAAAAAAAAAAAAAAAAAATTAGCTGGGCATGGTGATGCATGCCTGTAATCCCAGCTGCTGGGAAGCTGGGGCAGGAGAATTGCTTGAACCCAGGAGGTGGAGGTTGCAGTGAGCTGAGATCGTGTCATTGCCCTCCAGGCTGGGCGATGGGGTGAGACTCCATCCCCCCGCCCCCAAAAAAATCTTTACTCCTCTGCCTTCCTGTTCTCAATCTGCTATATTCTTTAGCCTTATTTAATATTCTCAGTAGCCACATGCGGCTGATATCTGCTAGATGGGACAACGCTTTTCTAGATAGTTGGTTTTACTAAGTAGTGTATTTGCATTAAACATGACATTTATTGATGACACAATTCTGTTTGTCTGGAACATGAAAGATTGGCTCTTGCATCAGATATAACTTCACAAATAAAGAGAAGGGGAAGCAAAAAATATTCCTTCAAGAATCTTGGTGAAGATTAGGTATATTTTCTCTGTGTTTTATGTAAAGTGATTTTTTTTTTTTTGAGACAGAGTTTCGCTCTTGTTACCCAGGCTGGAGTGCAATGGCGCGATCTCAGCTCACCGCAACCTCCGCCTCCTGGGTTCAGGCAATTCTCCTGCCTCAGCCTCCTGAGTAGCTGGGATTACAGGCACGCGCCACCATGCCCAGCTAATTTTTTGTATTTTTAGTAGAGACGGGGTTTCACCATGTTGACCAGGATGGTCTCGATCTCTTGACCTCGTGATCCACCCGCCTCGGCCTCCCAAAGTGCTGGGATTACAGGCTTGAGCCACCGTGTTCACTGGATTCTCATCAGGGACCAGAACATATAGAAACAAATGCATTTTAACTAAGGAAAGATAAAAGGATTATTTAAAAAATCATTGGAAAATCATATGGAATTGAATTGCAAGTATGTAGCTTGGTACTTTTTATATGTCTGCTATTCTGTCTCTTCCCCACCCCAACCCATGACTTCAGATAGGTTCATTGGGTCAGTATTCATCCAGGTCTAATTAGCTTGTCTGGAGGGTTTATCCATGGTACTAAAAGGGCAGCAAGAGCTGAATTGCAGGATACAGATTGTCTTAGAAGGGAATTTTAGCAGGGAGGCAGTGAATGGCATGTGTGACTTCAGTTTCTTTAACTAATTGGAAAAGAGCATGTGTGAGAATGTTACCTCCCTCATACAGATTTGGTGAGGACTAAGTCAGATAATCTGTATAAAGTGCTTGGCCCAGGGCCTAGTACTTAATAATGAGTTGACGTTTCCATTGAGTGCTTACTCTAATACATACCTAATTATATAGTTTTTCCGACCTGATTTTTTTAATTTAGGGAAGAAATTTGAAGAACTTAGTAGGATAAATTGGTGACTTGGGGATATTTCTCAGAACATCTCAATTCAGAATGTGGTAACTGCCTAACTGAATTTCAACTCTCATAACTAGTGGCCTAGATATACTCTAAAGTGTTCATGATATAGTATATCAACCCTACCTCAGATTGGCTTACTGTTGAACATTGTTGAATTTGCTCTCAAGAACTTAGAATGTGTCTGGATTTTTTTTAGCCATTTGAACCCCTTTATTTAAGTGAAATCTTTTACAGAAACCAGATATGTAAAAATACCAAAAACAAACCATTCTCTTTGAAGCAGAGATTTATAACCCATTCTGCCTTCTCAATCCGCTTTCTCCCTACCCTTTTCTTTTTTTTTTTTTTTTTTTGAGACGGAGTTTTGCTCTTGTTACTCAGGCTGAAGTGCAATGGCGCGATCTCGGCGCACCGCAACCTCCGCCTCCTAGGTTCAGACAGTTCTCCTACCTCAGCCTCCTGAGTAGCTGGGATTACAGGCACGTGCCACCATGCCCAGCTAATTTTTTTGTATTTTTAGTAGAGCCGGGGTTTCACCATGTTGACCAGGATGGTCTTGATCTCTTGACCTCGTGATCCACCCACCTCGGCCTCCCAAAGTGTTGGGATTACAGGTGT